TCCAGGCTTCAGGAAAATCAATGTGGAAAATTGTAAGTGGAGGGCTCCATGGGGGTGTGGGCGGAAGCAGCAAAGCGTCCAATGTAAATCCTCCATGGTATGCAAGTCAGACTTGCTTCACTCTTGGGCAAAGAGAAAGGTTCAGATGAAAGGGTGCATTATAGAACTGATGTGATAAATCCACAAACAGCCTTCCCTCTTTCCTGCTCAGCTCAGCAGCTCGGGAAAGATGTGCCAAATCTAACAACTGCCCCTGATAGCCATCTCCTGGTTTAACTTCTCCCCTGGCCAGTGGCCACTTGGCGTTGCTCAAGCAATGCCTGCAGACTTCTTCATGCGTGCCCTTGCTGGAAACTCCAGCGTCATGAGGCAGACCTGAAGTTGACAAAGGGCTTCCGGAAGATCGTTCACATTCTGCTTTCAGTGAGTGCCCAATCAGAGGGAAGATCAACAACTGGTGAACTTTATTCTGCAGCTACGACCAGTGACCTCTGAGCACAGAACCCACATGGCAATAATGTATCTAGCAGACACTTATCTAATCTCACACTTTTCAGTCTTTTCGGGTTAGAATCAACACTTAGCTCATCAAAACACACACACACACATGCACGCACACACACACACACCTTCCAAAAAGGAACCTGCTCTCAGACTGCACACATGGGTATTTTGTTTATCTTATTTTTTTTCTGCATTCCAATAAATCTACAGGTACAGAAATGTTGAGATGGATACTCTAAAGCCGTTAGGCTGTGGTTTTTATTTTTGAGGAAGAGTTCTTTCAAAATACACAAAATTCTCTCTATTATAAAATGTGGAGTGTGAATGAGGCCACCACACCAAAAAGTGTCAGAAGTAAATCTCTCAACTATCATGACCAGCCTACTGTGGTGTAATGCAATACAGCCATAGGGGAAAATACAATAAAATGAAAGAATTCCAGAGAATTCCAGACATCCCACACAGGCCCAGTAGATATTTTTAATCATAATACTCGTTGGCAAATGATCTACCATGTTTGCATGGAAAGTATTCTATTCTTCAACCATGCTTTAAAAATAGTAACTTCTCCTTTCCTCCTTTGGAAAAGCTGGGGCTACAAAACGAATGTAAAGTAAATACGGAATAATTTCCTGTTCGCTGCAGAGTGCCATAATTAGGACTTGTAGACCTAGACTTCTTGCTTGACTTTAACTGAGTTCGCTGGACAGTTGCTCAACCACTTACTTTGGCTTTATAGACACAGTGTAGATCACAGAGCTTGCCTTTCTCCAGGGGTAAGCATGGCCAATGAAGAAAATGTTGACTCTTCCCTCTGATGCCACCACGGACATTGCACCCCCAGGTCTGGTCCACCAGGCCCATGGGCTGTATGCCCCTTGCCATTCTGGGCCTTCCAACTCCAGCACCAACAAGGACAATAGGTAATGGGTATTTTGGATGAAGGATACCATAGTTGAGCTGTCCATGATTTATGCAAGGTCTCCACTTGGGATCATTCCCAATTCTGTCTGCTCACATCAACAAAGCATAGAGGAAATTAGAATGTAGAGGCAAGTGGAAGACACCACTTTGTGTTTATATCCATGGAAAGCTCCTCATATGACAGAGTGCTCTCTCAATTTTTTTATTTGTAACAAAAGACCCTGAAAGGAATTCAGTCAATGCTAGTTTTGGATGTTGATGACAGTTACCAGGAAGAATAGTTTATAGTTAGGGTGGCTATTTGGCACAGAAGTTAAGATGCTGCTTGGGATGCCTGCATCCCCTACTGGATGCCTCGATTCAGGAACTGGCTCTTCTTCCCATCCCAGCTTCCTACTAATGCACACCCTGGGAGACAGCAGTGATGACTCAAGTTCTTGAGTAGCTGCCACTCATACGGGAAACTAGGATTGAGTTCACTCCTGCAGGTATTTGGGGACTGAACCAACAGACGGAAGATTCTCTCTTTCTCTCTCTCTCTCTCTCTCCCCCTCCCTCCCTCCCTCCCTCCCTCTCTCTGCCTTTCAAATAAACTAAAAAATAAATAAATAAAATTTGAAATAGTCTTTATTTTTTAATGCAAAGAAATGTGAACTTTTAAAACTTTTCCATTTATTTTATTTATTTGTAAGGCAGAGAGACAGAGATCTCGCAGCCACTGATTCACTCCTCAAATGCCCACAATACCTGGGGTTGGGCCAGACCAAAGCCGAGATCTGGGAACTCAATTCAGGCCTCCCATGTGGGTGGCAGGGACCCATCCATCACCTGCTGCTCCCAAAGTGTGCATCAATAGGATGTGGGAATCAGGAGCAGAGTGGAGACTTAAACCCAGCCACTCCAATATGGGCTGTGGGCATCCCAAGCAACCTCTTATTCTTTTGTCAAACACCTGCTCAAGAAACATACTGCCTTTATAGGTATATTCTTCAAGGTATAATCTCCATTGCAGGTATTAGATATGGTAAGTAAATTTTTAAAAGCTCACTTTAAATCTTTATTATGAAAAATCTTCAAACATATCAAAAGAAGAGCATATACCACAATTAATCCCCATATTTCTTACACTGCTGCAAATCAACAGTTACCCAGATTTTTCCACACTTGCTCTAGTTTTTGTCTTTTCCATTTTTAACCCCAGACTTCATATCATTTCACCTCCTCCTACTTCAGTACGCATCTCTGAAATGTATAAACATTTCCTTACTTAGCCATAGTCCCAGAAAAATCCCTTTTAAAAGCAGCACAGAAGGTAGCCTTGTGGAGATGGCAAATAGTGCATGCGCAGTGAGGCTTGGGATGACATTTTCACTGACCACACAGAAAGTGCTAAGTCTCTGAGACACTGGGGGAGAAACAGGATGCCATATTCTGGAAGATGGAGCCAGAGCAGCTCAGAAAGGGCTCAAGGAATGACAACGACCAGTAATGACAAGGAATCTGAACAATGAGTACGGCAAAGTCACATTTCTAAATATGCACATTCACTAGACACAGTAGTAAATTTTATAACTACAAGTTTGACTCTGTCACTTGCATCACGAAAGGTTTATATATCCAAACTGGCCAAAAAAAGAAAGAAAGAAAACTGTTGTAAGCCATCCGTTGAGTAATGGGGCATTGCTTCATCCTCAGGATTGCATACAGGGTAGCTTCAGTCCATTATCTGCCAGCTCCTGCCAGGCCTGCTCCTCCCAACAAGACCACTTCTTGAGTATCCACCAGATGCCACGCACTATGACAGGCCCTGAAAATACTCACTGCCTATGCACTTACCAGCCCTGTGAAGGACATCCTCCTAGACCCTCCTCGCTTCAGGGAAGAAAACTTAAGCATCGAGAAACGGAGTCCTATTCCTCAGGAAATAGATACGAAACATTGCTCTGACTTATTTTTCCTGCTGCCCTTGCAAGCTCTACTGTCCCGTGACCTAAGTACTTGCTTCAGACGGGCCACAAACCACATGGCAACATCAAGGGATCTATTACACACTTGCATGAGGGAGCACTGCAAGATTTGAGGGAGGGCTCCACGTCTGCATGATCGTGGTCCAGCCAGCCCCCCACTTCGTCATGGCCAAATCATTGTTTCTGGCTGTAACCATCTGGTGATCAATGGGAGATGACACCACAGAGTGGTGACTCCGATTTTGCTACGACAACAAGAACAGTCAAAGCACTTGCAGAGAGCTTTGGCCATAGGGCAGCTGAATGGACCCAAGCTTCAGTTACAGTCTTTGGCTGGCGCCGCGGCTCACTAGGCTAATCTTCCGCCTGTGGCACCAGCACTCCAGGTTCTAGTCCCGGTTGGGGCACTGATTCTGTCCCAGTTGCTCCTCTTCCAGTCCAGTTCTCTGCTATGGCCCGGGAAGGCAGTGGAGGATGGCCCAAGTGCTTGGGCCCTGCACCCACATGGGAGACCAGGAGGAAGCACCTGGCTCCTGGCTTCGGATCAGCGCAGCGCGCTGGCCATAGCAGCCGTTTCAGGGGTGAACCAACGGAAGGAAGACCTTTCTCCTCTCTGTCTCTCTCACTGTCTAACTCTGCCTGTCAAAAAAATTTTATTTATGTATTTTGAAAGTCAGAGTTACAGATATATATATATATATATATATAGAGAGAGAGAGAGAGAGAGAGAGAGATCTTCCATCTTCTGGTTCACTCCCTAGATGGCCACAATGGCCAGGGCTGGGCCAGGCCAAAGTCAGGAACCAAGAACTTCATCCGGGTCTCCCATGTGGATGCAAAGGCCCAAGAACTTGGGCCACCTTTTGCTGCTTTCTCAGACCATTAGCAGAGATCTGGATCAGAAGAGGAGCAGCTGGAACATGAACAGGTGCCTATATGGGATGCTGGTGTCACAGGTGGCGGCTCTCCCCGTAAGGCCACAAGGCCGGCCCCCAGTCACACTCTTGATGTGTGACCACTGCTTGTGTTTGTTCAAACATCCTCTGGGACAGAGTTCCTAACTCCATTTGATAGCTGTTCTCTGCCATCTCCTCTGATATTAACATCATAGGATGGGGAAGAGAAACAACCAGTGTCGTCCTGCCCACGCAGGTGGTGCCGCACATGAAGGTATGGGTCGGGTATAAAAGCAAAACAAAAACTTGTGCCTCTTTGTTTTGCATCCTCCCTGCGCTGCAGGGTGATCCCCAGCAAGTCATTCAACTTTCCTTTCCTGCCGTCTCTTTATCATCAAAATGTGGTATCTGAGGCTCATGGCTGAAGTAGCCAAATAATATTATCCAATTAAGGTGAAAATCGCTATATAAATGCTATAGAGGCGAGGACTTAAATAGCCACATATGGTTTCATGAAAAGCACTCCAGTGCATCAGCTAGCAGTAAAAAACATGCAGGAGTGAAATGATCTGGCTGGAAATGAACTGCAAATTGATAAACATTTAGTTGCTAATGCAGTGTTTATTATTTTTTACTAGGATAAAAATTAACTTGTGCGGCCTTGGCCAGCAAACAGCTTGAACTCCACCATCTGGGTTGTGGAATCAGTTTTTCTGTAGCCTTGGGTTACAGGTTATTGTTGCCAGCTTTGATTTTATTTGTAAACAAGCCCTGGATACTCAGACAGCAGATCTGGGAGAGGCTGCTGGGAAGCACATCAAACACGCCAGCGCACCAAAGGGTGACTCCAGCGAGAGCATCAGGGAACAAGGCTGTGGCCCCTGCCTGCACCCCATTGCCCTCCATGTCCGGCATTGCCACGTGGGTGGGAGAAATCACCTTGACCCTGAGAAGCTACGGGCAGCGCACAAAGCGAAGAGAGCTCGCTAGGCACTGCAGGGCACGGGAGGCGAGCACGGGCAGGTTCTTGGGCGGACTGGGGCGAGGCAACGTGGCATTGCCAGTGGCAGCCCCAGCTGCAGACGCGGGCTTCTCCCCTGGAGCCTTTTCCATCAGCTTCGCAAGCAGCTGGATCAATTTACTGCAGCGCTCTCCACAAGCACGGGCTAACTTATCACTCATGGAAATCCCCTTGGTTTCAGGGAATCAGGTAGCGTTCAGACTCCCAGCAGAGAGAGAGAGAGAGAGAGAGAGAGAGAGAGAGAGAGAGACTGCAAGGCTAAGGGCTTCCAAACAGGCTGTTTGGTTTGTAGTAAATTAAAGGGAGTGGGTGGTTGAGGTAAGAGTAATGTTATCCTGTAGAGTGTGGTCCTCTTTGACGTCAGCAAAATGTTTCTGTCTCTCCCTTCCCTCCTCTCTCCCCTTTCCCCCACCCCTACCCTCCTCTACTTCCTCCCTCCTCCCTCCCTCCCTCCTTTTGTCAGAGACGGATGACATAGAGGAGCTCTGGAAAACTGCTCAGAGTTTTGCAACATAGCTCAGAAAATTCCCACATTTTCAAAAACGTAGGCTATTGTGGGAGGCGGGTACATCAGCAAGACAAAAATACGTGTGACTCAGGGAAGGAAGAGGGGAAAGCAAACAGTAACCACGGCCGGCAGTGCATTCCTCCCTTCCTCTTGCCTGATTAGCAGTTCTGTCCCAGAGAACATTCTTCCTGTGGCTGCAGCTGGCCTGAAATAGTGTCCCGGAGAGCATGCGCTCTGCTCCCCGGCTCTGTGGGACTCAGCCTGGGCTGCTGGACCAGGCAGGATTTCTCCTCTCTCCCCAGCACACCACACCCACTCTGCACTGCAGTTGTTTTTTTCTGCTCATCAAAGACAGCAGTGGTGCCCCCAGGTTGGCATACAACTGTCTAGAACAAGGATTCAAGGCTAGGTGAGTGCTTGTCCTCTGACCCTGCAATACTTCCACTGCTTTTGTTTGGCCCCTGTGATTCAACAGGGGCAGCCATGAACAAGCCTTGGGTCCAGCTGCCCAGTCACAGACCCAGAACTGCTGCTTACATAGCTTTGCACTGCTGTGTGTCCCCAGTGAGGGTACTCAGTCTCCAGAGTGACTTGACTGTCATTCTTTTCCCAGGCAGCTCTTTAAAAGCAGAAATCTAGAGGCCTGTACTGTGGCACAGTGGGTTAAGCCACCACTGCAGGCAACAGTTCGAGTCCTGGCTGCTCCACTTCCAATCCAGCTGCCTGCCTGGGAATGCAGCGGAAGATGGCCCAAGTCCTTGGGCCTCTGCACCCATGTGGGAGACCCAGAAGAAGATCTTGGCTCCTGGCTTTGGCCTGGCCCAGCCCTGGTTGTTGCAGCCATTTGGAGAGCGAACCAGCAAGTAGACGATCCCTCCCTCTCTATCTCCCTCCTTTTTTTCCATGTACCTCTGCCTTTCAAATAAATAAATAAATCTTAAAAAAAAAAAAAAAGAAATCTATCTGGACCTCCCAGGCTCTGAAGTGCCGCCTGCAGACTCCAGGTACACAAGTGCCTGATGCTCTCCTTGTATTGGGATATGCTGCTTCCTCCCTCGTCCCTTCTCTGACCTGGACAGCAAGAGCGTCAGCAGACCTTCGAACAGGGAGCATTTTGTAACCCAGAGCCTCTTCACACTTTCTGCAGACACAATGCTCCAGGCACATTGGTGATGGAAAAATCCATGCACGAGAAAACACAGAACAGTCACAACCCAAGAATGTATTCAGAAATTAGTCCTGGGACCTGAGAAACAGCCGTGTGTGTAGGAGCCATGTGTGTTCATGAGTATGTAACAGAGCTTCTGTGGGACTGCAGGCCCCAGGGGCAGGGTGGGTGGGCATTTGGCACAGTGGTTAAGTCACCACTTGGGACTCCTACATCCTGTATCAGAGTCCCTGGTCAAGTTCCAGATAATCCACAAGTCTGTCTCTCTCTCTCTCTCTCTCTCTCTCTCTCTAATAAAATGAAAACAAATAAGGAAAACACAGGCCTGGTGCACAGTAAATTTTTTTTGACAGGCAGAGTGGACAGTGAGAGAGAGAGAGAGACAGAGAGAAAGGTCTTCCTTTGCCGTTGGTTCACCCCCTAAATGGCCGCTGCGGCTGGCACGCTGCGGTCAGCACACCACACTGATCAGAAGCCAGGAGCCAGGTGCTTCTGATCTCCCATGCGGGTGCAGGGCCCTTGCTTGGGCCATCCTCCACTGCCTTCCCGGGCCACAGCAGAGAGCTGGACTGGAAGAGGGGCAACCGGGGCAGAATCTGGCACCCCGACCGGGACTCGAACCCAGTGTGCCAGTGCCACAGGCAGAGGATTAGGCTAGTGAGCTGCGGCGCCGGCCTCATGGTAGATATTTTATATGAGTATTGGGCAGATGGAAGAATAAGCAAGTGAATGAGTAAGAGAAATGCATTGGCTTAGAAAACAAACAAAAAAAGCCAAAAAGGAGCCCCAACTTTCTGAGAGATAGGGGGAGTCTGCTGGAAAGGTTTGGAAGAGAACAGACTTGGAAAGTGTAAATGCAAACCAGGAGGCTGACATAATGACGACTGATGCTAACAGCATTAGATAATGTGCGTGGAGCACTGGCTATGTGCCACACTGTGAATATCTTACATGGAGCATCTTGCTTAGTCTTCATGGAAACCCCAGGAGGACAAGACTAGGTTGAGGGTATGGTCACTCTTTGAGGCCCCCAGTAAGAAAATCCCACACCCAAAGAGGGACTTGAAGCAGATCTAATGAGCCCAGATCAACCCTTGTGGATCTTCCAACTTGGCAGAGTGGACGCTTCCCTGGTCCTACCTGCCAAAGGCTGGCTTTCGATGTAATTTCTGCCCCCACTGCACCCTTTGGGGAGGGGACAGCTGCTTCCTGCTGACTCACCATGCGGAAACCCTGAGGGGCTAAGAGAAGAGTAAGCTCTGATCCCCGCGTGGCAAAAGGAGTCTGCCTGCATCCACCCCACTGCTCCTTCCCTCTCTGGGAAATGCCAGGCATTGGAAGGAAGCCGGGGGCCTGGGTTGGAAGAACCAGCATCTTTGAGCCTGCAGCCCATTTCCTCTGGCTGGGTAGCCTCTGGGATGTTAAGAGAACCAAGTTAGCGGAATGATGCCATCAGCTCCGTCCTCCAGAGGCCATCTCGCTGCTTTGAGAGAGGAGCAAGGAACTTGGGTGCCTCCCAACTGAAGTGTCTGTGCCTCACGGCCCTGGCTCATGGAGGGGAAGCAGGCTCTACTTTGAGCACCCTCCAGGGGACCCTCTAACTCCACCTCCTGTTTCCTCTCCAGGAAACACATCTCACACCTTTCTTGGCCACATAGGGGAATTCGGTCTCCTTTATGTTCTGCACCATTGCTCTACTGAATTCCTCTCTTTCTTCCCAATGTGCCTTGTAGCCCTCGTGTCACAGAGGTGCACTGCAGGCCGCACTCCTGTAGGACATGAATCGCATTGCTTCTTGTGAGACCTTCTCTGGCTGGGGGCAGGGCGTGAGTGGTATTTTCACCAGAGCTCTCGGAGGAGCTTCTGCTTGAATGGCTTATTTGCCTCTGATCACCAGGACAGAGCAGAGCTAGCTGTTGACCTGCCTTCCTCCCCACTCCCCAGGCACCTGCCACACACACACCCTCGGCCTTCCAAGCTGACTGGATTCCTATCACCCACTCATTGGCATTCCATTAAAAACCTGGACTATTGGTGATAAGCCTTTGAGGACATGGGGATGCTTAGTCTGAGTTGAACATTACACACTGTATACATGTATTGAAACATCACAAAGTGCCCCACAAATATGTACAGTTTTTATCTGAGAATTTAAAAAAAATATGTTTTAAAAAGGTGGGATATCAATAGGCTCCGCAGTGCCACTCAGGAACTCAGCGGCCGTGTGACCCACCTGCACAAAGGGACAGAACACTCAGCCTCTGCCAGGTGGTGCAGCTGTCTGTGTTCAGGCGATGGGGGCGAAGATGAAGCACACGCCCTGAGGCTACCTGACACAGCGAGTTGCCAGCCCCCACTAAACACGCATGCAACCCTGACCGCCAGTGTCCCTGAAAGGAGGCACTGGTAACAGCCAGAGAGTGCTCTCTGTAGCACAGACACCCAGTTCTAATCCTGGCTAACTCGAGGCTGACCCTTGGACTTGTCCTCTATAAAATGAGGACAATCACACGTCCCTAGGGGGCTAATCCCACAACTATAAAACTTCTAGTGCGGCGTCGGCCCTTAATAACTTCAGTCCATTTTTATTGTTAGCAGGCACAGTGTACACAGTGCCTTGGCACTGAAGACAATAGATACCATTTACTGAGCAGTTTTTATGAGCCATGTGCGTTAAGTACATTATCCCTACTCACACCAGCCTACAAAGTAGGTATCAGCAGCCTCATTTTGTAAATAAGGAACATGAGGCTCAGAGCAGTTAAGTAACTCACCCAAAGTCACATAGACAGTTCGAAGCAAACACAGGGCTCACATTAAAGGAACACACCCTTGCTCACCAGGCTGTGCTGGCCTACACCTCCATGCAGTTCAGTACACACAGAGCTCTGCTCCCCTGCAGGGTACCACGGAGGAAATGTCCAGTGAGTGTGCAGAGAGCTCTACTGCTGTGTGTGTGTGTGTGTGTGTGTGTGTGAGCATGTAGGGCATGTTTCCAGCTCAGGACAGCACTGTTATATGGCACACCAGTGAGCCAAAGGCTCAAGCTCAAAACTCATGTATTGAAAGGCTCATCTGCAGGGGGCTGGTGGCTTAGTGGGTAAAGCCACTGCCTGCAGTGCCTGCATTCCACATGGGTACCAGTTCAAATCCCAGCTGCTCCACTGCCAATGCAGATTTCTGCCTATGGCCTAGGAAAGCAGTGGAAGATTGCCCAAGTCCTTGGGCCCCTGAACCCATGAGGGAGACCCAGAAGAAGCTCCTAGCTTCAGATCGGCGCAGTTCTGACCGTTGTAGCCCATTCAGGGAGTGAATCATCAGATGGAAGATCTCTCTCTCTCTCTTTCTCTCTCTCTCTCTCCCTCCCTCCTTTCTCTCTCTGTACCTCTGCCTTTCAAATAAATAAATAAAACTAAAAAAAAATAAAGAAAGAAAGAAAGGCTCATCTATGATTTGGCAGGACAGACCCTTAACCCAGAGCGAATTTAGAAAACAAACAAGGGCCATTCACAAGGACTATGGTTCAAATGAGAAGTTCCTGCACAGTAATAAAGGCAAATCCGTCAGACAGCATGGACCATGTTCAGTTAATGATAAATGTATTGTAAGTAGTTAAAAAGAGACAGCAAAAGGTAAAACCAGTTTATGCGTGGGCAGCAATGTGTCCTCGGCCCTTCTTGGAGATGGAGCCAGCAAGCACAAAGGCATTGAGTAGAACAGACAGAATTCAGCCGTGCAGACCTGCTGGCATCCCTAGATGAGCCTCAGTGGGAATGTGCCTACGCGGCTGAGTAGGAGGTAACACAAGGGCTCCGACTGGTGGAAATACTGTCCTCTCTATATCCCTCCAAACAGCCTCTCATTTGTTAATTTTGTTAATGACGAAGACTCCCCTTCAGCTTTTTCTTCTTAGCAAAACCAGGCTTGTTAAGAATCCAGACTTCTTAACTGAAATGGCCTGGATGTCACTCTGTTACAGCAGACCCAACGTTCCATGCTGAATCAGACCCCATACTATATCAACTATGAGTCACACATAGGTAAATGAGCCCTAGAAGGAAGAGAGATAATGGGGTGACATTTATCAGCGGCTGAATCTTAGGAAATGACGAGCATTGCCTAATCGCTGGTTGTATTCGTATATATTGCCTTCCAGATCGTTGCTTGGTAGCTCTGGGGATGGTTTCTAACTGTCAATATTTACAGGAACCAGGCACTTAACAACACAGGCCAAATGGGCTGGATATCTCCAAGGATGAGTCATGCCTTTTATCTAAGGTCACTCTTCAGCATCCCCGTTGGCTGCAGTGGCCTGGAAGTCCTCAGGTCATTGAAAGGCACGTGCATGGTTATGGGGCATGTGCACCGTCCTCTGGATGTACCAACACTTGGGAAAGCAAAACATGGGGCGGGGAGGGAGGTGGATAGGGTCGAGAGAGAGCATAAGTTTGAAAACATCTAGACCTGTGGGTTGTCTTTTTTTTTTTTTTAAGATTTACTTATTTATTTGAAAGTTAGAGTTACATAGAGAGAGGAGAGGCAGAGAGAGAGAGGTCTTCCATCCCCTGGTTCACTCCCCAATTGGTTGCAATGGTCAGAGCTGTGCTGATCCAAAGCCAGGAGACAGGAGCCTCTTTCAGGTCTTCCATGTGGGTGCCGGGGCCCAAGGACTTGGGCCGTCTTCTACTGTTTTCCCAGGCCATAGCAGAGAGCTAGATCGGAAGTGGAGCAGCTGGGACTCGAACCGGTGCCCATATGGGAAGCCAGCACTGCAGGTGGCAGCTTTACCCACTATGCCACAGCGCCAGCCCCTATAGTTTTTTCTAATATGTGTTGTCCATGACCTTTTTTGAAGACCCTGTTGTACGCATGGATTTCAAAATTTTTTTTTGCACCAAAATAAACTTATCTTTTAACTCCATTTTCTATTAAAAAAAAAAAAACTATGATGGGTTCCAGATTTTTTATTAATTGCAGCAAAAGGAACTTATATTTTAATGCCATTTTCCACCCACTTTTTGAAATATTTTCTGTACACACAAGCAGATGCACATAAAGGAAGGCGGGGCTGTCTGGATCCAGAGCCTGGCAGCCCATCCAGCCTGGTTATTTTTAAGCAAATTAGACCCACATTCCCAGCCAGCCAAGGTGGAAACACTGAACACCATTCAAGCATTGGAAGATGATTTTCTTTTGTTTCTTTTTTTTTTAGCTTTTGAAAGCTTAATGTGTTCAGGAGTCACTCATCTCATATGGAGCTAACCTCCAAAGAAGGCCACACCTGAAGCCTCATCAAGTAGGAGAACTCTGCATGCACTAGGCTGGGAGCAACAGGAAGAGGCCAGGGCCTGTGAGCAGCCATGGAGGCCAACAAAGGAAAGCGCGGAGAGGAAGTCGGCCAGAAGGGGCAGAGCTGGGGGTAGCTTTGACACTCTTGCTGGGTTGGCCTTAACCCTTCCCTGGCATGTGTTCTTGTGTTTGTACGCAGAAAAGAAAGAGAAGCTTGTTTTGGCATCATTATTAAATGAAGAAATAATATCAGACTTGAGAAATGCCACTACCGATGTGAGGGAAAAGTGACTGATACGCAAGCTTCACTCCCCAGTGTGCACACAGCAGCTAATTACAGCCACACTGGCTGTCACATCCTGCCTAAAGTCCTTTGGGGAACCAGTACTATGCAACAGGGGACCCGTTGGTCAACACTGAGCTCCTGGAATCCCAATTTCCTTTCAGATCAGTGAGCTAAACTAGGATTGCCAAAGGATCCTAAAAGAGAAGAAGTTTAGGGGCTGGAGCTGTGGCGCAGTGGGTTAAAGCCCTGGCCAGAAGCGCCAACATCTCATATGGGCACTAGTTCTAGTCCCAGCTGCTCCTCTTCCAATCCAGCTCTCTGCAGTAGAAGATGGCCCAAGTCCTTGGGCCCCTGCACTCACATGGAGACCTGGAGGAGGCTCCTGGCTTCGGATCGGCGCAGCTCCGGCTGTTGCGGCCAAATGGGGAGTGAACCATGGGATGGAAGACCTGTCTCTCTGTCTCTGCCTCTCTCTGTAACTCTGTCTTTCAAATAAATAAAATAAATCTTTAAAAAAAAGAGAGAGAAGTTTATTATTGAGCTGTGTGGTGGAAAATGTCATTGATCCAAAATGGTAGATGCCACAGAAGAATGAGAAATAGCAAGGCTTCCATACTGTGATGCTTTTCAGATGGGCCTAGATTTTTAACAGGCCCAACATGCTTGAAGGCTCAGAGATCTTAAGATGATCCCATGATGCAACAAACTTATGAGACCCGCAGACAAAGTGGTCAAAGCACACAGCCATCAGCCAGGGCCATAAGTCAAAGGCCAATCCTCCCGTGGCAGTTGTGTGGAAACAGAACACTGGAATCATCTGTAGTCACAAAGGGCAACAAGGGATGTAATCATGGTCTAGAGAACTCTTTTATTGTGGCCCTCACCAGCCACAGTGTACCATAAAGCAGGGGCTGGGAAACACCCTGGTGCACACCCTGTCAGCTGCACAGTCACAGCGTGTCTACAACAGCTGGGACCCTCTTCCCAATCAGCCCGAGACACGCACACTCAGCTGCTCAGTCAGGCCATGGGTGTGTTCTGGCCACGTGCATGCACACACATGCACTAAAAAAGAACTTGTTGCAGAAGGGGGCAGCCAGAAGAACACAGTTCCCCTGGTTCTATGTTAAAGGGTTTCCACTATATTCCAGAGCTGCTGCAGGGTGGCATCTGCTGGGAGCCCTCTGTTTCATTTCCCCCCTAAGTTCCTCTTTCTGCTGAGGGTAGAGGTAAGGAGAGGCTGCATAGGGAGGGGTTTGGGAGGAGAAAATCAAGAAGAAAGGATGGACCCATTCCTGTTCCTCTTTCCCCTGTACTTCTCCACTTTGGTCTCTAAGTCTTGTATAGTAAGTGCACAGCATTACGTGCTGGAAGACTGCACTAGTTTGCCTGGGCTGCCATAACAACGGACAGCAGACTGTATTTCTTCACATTCTGAAGGTTCGAAGTCCAAGATCAAGGTGTCAGCAGGCTTGGTTCCTCCTGAGGCCTTGCTCCTGGGCTTGCAAATGACCAGCTTCTCCATGTCTTTACGAGGTCTTCCTCTGCTCTTATAAGGACACCAAGGAAAATGGATTCAGGCTCACCCTTAGGACCTCCAAAGGGTTTTTAAAGACCTTTAATCACCTCTTTAAAGACACTATGTCCAAATAAGTTCACATTCTGAGGTTCTGGGAGTCGGGACTTCAACCAAACCAAAGGTGAAGCAGGAAGAGAAGTCAACCCGTGTGTATAGATCCCCCGCCGCGGGCTTCGCACTGGGCCAGGCAGCAGAAACAAAAGATCAGAAGACATCATCTCAGCTCTATGTGACTGAATGACAAAATTACATCCCAGCAAGTGAGTGAAAGGCGTGGCTGGCTGCATCCATCATGAATGACTTCAGTGAACCAACATCAACACTGCTCCCACAGCCCGGAGGGCTCAGCAAGCTCGACCACCAGCAAGTCCAGGAGCGTCACTGAGCCCAGAGCTGGCAGCCCACTGCCACCTCCACCTGCAATGGAGTCACACAGGGGCCACCACCCCACGCCCAGAGAAGCCTGCCAGCTGTTGCCCAGAGCAGAACCACGAGGTGAGGCTCTCCCAGACGAATCCAGGCCTTTCCAGATGCCCTCTTGTTGTCCCCAGTGAGAGCTGGCCCACAGCAGACCACAGAACAGAACTGAAATGCAGGGTCTCCGGTTAGCTCTGCTGAGGGGCAGCCCACCAGACCACACCAGCTGCCACGAGTGACAGGCAATGTTCTGTCCCAGGATAGTCCAGCCCGTGACAGGAGAGTAAAAGTTTCCACATCCTCAACTGCGCCCCGTACACTCACTGTGCCCAAACCTGCACCCCAATTAGAGGAACAGAAAGGCAGCATGTCTGCCGCGTTGTAATCCGTGCCTTCTTCCTCTTGCTCCAGATAATTCAACTGCGTCACTCGATTGTTATTATCGGTGCTGTGAGTGTTTACTTAATCAATCTTCAAAGAGATTTCCAGGCGGGGATTTTGGTGACTAAATCGAGGTCAGAGTTCCTCTGACCATCAATCAGGGCCAGCAGGGGGCAGGCCCAGCTGATGGTCACCTGATCACAGCAGCTGTGCGACAACTTTGAGCCAGTTCCTGTCCAGTATCCCTTCCCAGCTCTTGGTGAACCCAGACACCGGTCAGTTCCTGAATTGCAGTGACACGCCACGCACTCACACAGGCCTCCCCTGCTTGGGTGACTCCTCTTTATTGCTTTCTAGCACATTCTCTCTCCAGTCCAAACACAATTAAGTCACAGCAGCCTATCTGTGAATCTTTCCTTTATCACCAAACATGCAGCCCAAAAGCACGGGGCTGGTATTTCCTCTGACCCAGTAGGGATTTTTATGGGGTTTTTATTTGGTTTCACTTTTGCCATGCTTCTGAGAATGGTTCTTTTGTTCTTCCTTCACTCTCTGCTTAAGTCCTCCAAGCCATTCTGCTCAGAAAACCACAAAGCTGCTGCCCCAGACAGGTAACCCCCCCAAAAAATGGCACTGAGAAAACCCCCATCTTCCTATAGATTTTCAAGCTATAAAGCATCAAGTTCTCAGCACCGAAGCGGTCCCTCCCCCAAGGCCAAGCCCCTCACAGCCAGGCCTGGGGGAAGCAGAAGCAAGGCCGGGAGCCCCGTCTTCATCCTAGGACTGAGGGAGAGCTTCCCACATGTGGTGTGGTGGACCCAGGGATTTGCTGGCCAGAACAGAAAATACGCCCTCCCTGGCTCATCTTGGAATCCAAATGTGAGCTGAGCCATCAGCTCAGCTCCTCCCCAGACACAGTGACTGAGCCGGTGATGTCACTTGGCCCTGGTGAAGCCATCAAGGAGTCTCTTAGAATCTTTTGAACTCGTAGTCTGTCTCTGATGAAGAAGCCTTTAGGTGCATGATAAGGAAAAGTGGCCATCATGTCCATCACCTGCCATGTAGGGTAAGTTTCTCAAAGAGATTAAAATCAGCATCTGCAGGAAGTTGAGATGAAAGAAGAGAAAGCACCTGGTAGTGTTGGGTCCTAACCGCAGGTGTCCTGGGTCCTACAAAGCCCCCTTCTAGAAGCCGTGGCCAGTTTGGTTTGCCTCACTATGTACAGAGGCAAAGAAGAAAGTGGGAGAGAAGGTAGCCCACTCCTCAAGCTGATGGAGAGCACTGGAACAGAGAGTCCCACTTGTAGTTTTGCAAAGGGCTTCCAGGTCTTTCTCAAGTCAATGCTCAGGGTTACCCACTGCGAGGCAGAGGCAATTATCTGGATAACTGGGGTGTTTCTTAGAACAGGTGTCAAGTGACAGCACTCTTGTGACAGATCCTTGGAAAACTCAGTCCTTTAGGATAAATCATGGCTCTTCTTGTAGGAATGTGCCAGTTGCAACCCCACCACCCTCATCATATCATTGGTTAAATGGACAATTGGCCTCCAAAAGAACTAGTTCAACTACCTCCTCCATCAGTTTAACACCTTCCTAGATGGAGCCCCTTCAGAATCTAGCTGCTTTTCCGATTACGAGACCCTGAAACAAGGAAGCTCCGGAGGTGGGCACAGACCCAGAGGTACCCACTGTACTCCACTGTGCTCTCTCAGCTGAAACCACAGAGGGGACTCATGTCAGAAGGGCTTACCCAGCTGAGAGTGAGGCCATAGGACCCAGCCTAACCCCCTTACTCACCCAGAAGGGTCAATGGAGAGCCAGTAGCCACAAGGGGTCAGAGCCTCAATTTTGACTGCAAGTTCAAAGACTCTAGCTGAAGCCACACAGTGCCCCCTGGCATCACTCTGAGAAATGGATCCAGTCCTGAGTCAGAGAGGAAGCAAACACTCACTGAATCACCATCCACTTCCTCCTGCCCGCAGCAGCTCGGCCAAGACCAGCAGCAGCTTCCCAGGAACAAATTAGTGATCAACACTCGGAAAAGTTGATGCTCCAAGAAGAGCAAGCAGAGACCCCTGGCCTGCTGAGAACCACCGGGACCGACTTCAGTGGGGCCCCCCGCCCCCTGTGTTTTCCAGAGTAAAGCTGCACATCTTGTAACAGCCCCTATCCTGTCCTGCACTGACCTTGGATGTGTTATTTTTCACTTCCCTGTTCAGAACACAGCCACACTTTCCAAATGCCATGAATCATCACCACCGAGCAACGGCCATTTAGCAAGGCAGGAAACCACTGAGCGCCAGACCTGGAAGGAGCAGCTCCTGCTGCAGCCTCCCCCGCCCTGGCTGGTCATTGTGGCACTAGGCCACAGCGGAGGCTGCCTGGGCAGTTCCCGCTCTGTGTGCTCAGCTTCTCCACCATCAGCCCACAGGCAACATTAGGCAGCTCCTGGCTTTTCCAAAGCTCTCTTGGTTGCATTGTCTGAAACAAAACTGTCACCTTCCAATCCCAAGAAGGACAGACATGGATGGACCCATTGAAGACCAAGAGAGATCAGATCAGCCAGATCCACCATAGAACACGAGGGGAGGCATGATCTCTGTCTGCAAGTAGCTTTGCAATTGTAGGACAAATGTGGCCCATGTCATGCAAGCCCCTTTACCACTAGAAACATGTGCCTTCTACATGCCATTCACTAAGTTCCCAAGTAGCCAGTGGTGAAGCCAAAAATCAATTAATCGTCAGTGTGATGTCAGCATCCTCAAGAGCTGTCAAATTTTTCTGTGTTGAGCTCCTGGCTCCCGATATTTCTGAATAACACATCTGTTCTCATGACAGTCTTAAGTTCTGACATAGTAATGAAACCCTCATATAATGTTATTATTTTTTTTCCTCTGTTTAACCATAGACAGTGCCATTCAAATGTAGAATGGGCAAGGAAATGCAAATACACACAAATATGAAACATCAGGTTTAACCTACTAGATTGGCCAAAATTTTAAAATTTGATGATGTGGCCAAAGAGTGCAAAAATGGGCAGCCTCCCACACTATTGGTGGATGGAAAGTGTTCTACATTTTCCAGAGGGAGTTTGATCATCACAGTTATTAATGAGTGCCTTTTGACTCCTGATTTTAATATTTAAGAATTTATTCTCAGCTGAATAATCAGAAAAAATGCATCACAGTGTGGTAATAAATACAAAAAAAAACAATAAAATAAGGTTGAAATGATCTCAATGTGATTGAGCCACATTAAATGTAAATTATGATACATTTAATAAAAATAAAATGTAGCCATTAAAACAAAGGAGGGGAGAAACAGGTGTTTGGGACAGTCATTAAGAATTAACTTGGGTCACCACATCCCATATTGGGGTGCTTCGGTTTAGGTCTGGGCTCTGCTTCTGACTCCGGTTTTCCACTAATGTGCACCCCTGGGAAGCAGCAGGTGATGGCTCAGGTGGATCTCTGATGCCCACAGAGGAGGCCAAGCTTGAGTTCCTGGCTTCTAGCTTCAGCCTGGCCCAGCCCTAGAAGCTGTAGGCATTTGATCAGTGCACTAGCAGTGACTGGAAGTTCTTGCTCTCTCTCTCTCTCTCTCCCCCTCTCTCTTCCTTCCTCCCTATCTCTTCTCTGTTGCTTGCCTGTCAAATAAATTAACAAAATAATTTTTAAATAATTTTATAAATCTATATCTAAAGCCATAGAAGAATATTCACATGGATCATTTGATAGATGAAGAGACAGAACAACACATAAAGCCATTCATGTACAGATGTTGCGAGAGCTGTGTGCATGAAAGAGATTGTTAACAATGGTCATCTCTGCCCAGTGGGCTTTACAGATGACATTTACTTTCTTCTTCGTATTTTCTGTATTTCTTAAATTGCCTACAATAAACATGAAGCATTTTTAGGATCAAAGGAAAAGCATTTTGTTTTTGTTTTAAAATGAAAAACAACACAAATTTAAAAGCAGTTTGCTTCCCTGACGGGTCGCATCTGTCCAAGATAAGCTTTACATGTCTGCCCCCATTCTGGTGGAAAATGTTACTGGCTGTGGATACTCTGCCAAGGGGCCTTGGGCTCTGCTTGTTTGCCTGGAGCTCAGATGAGCTGAACTAGTTATGTCTACACTGGCTTCAGCAGCCGCTATATGCCAACTCGCCTGCCCAGAACAGCTGACCAGGGTCAGAAGTGGAGACACGGGCATGGCAGAGTTCTTCCCAATGGATGCCAAATAGCCAGTGTGGTAATCAAATCCCACATTTCAGAAACTGGAATTAACTAAATGAACCAGCAGAGACCTCTCTGGATGTCCAGGCAGAGTCGGATATTTTGAAAATATATAAAGTGCAATTCCTAGTTTCTTTAACTCCAGAAATAAAGTCTCAATCCTTGGAGACTATAGAAACTTAAAGCCAGAAAGATTCTTAAGAAATCTTATATTCTAGAGCTTTCATTGGACACCAAAGAGCACCAAGGCCCAGAAAAGTAAAGTGATTGGCTCAAGATCACACAGCATCAAGATGACAAGAGTCACAGAGGTAGCTTGCATCTCCTTATCTGTAACCCAGGATTTCTACTGCATTATCATAACGAGGGCCAGTGCAGTGGGCAGGACAAGATGTTCTTCATACCCTCAGAAACTGTTCCTGCCAGGGGTCCGGAATACACTACAGTGGCCCCAGGCCCTGTAGAAGAGTCTTGTGAGGGTTGCATGTGGGCATTTTTACCCAGGAGGTCATGTGGTTTTCTGAAAGGGGAAGCATTTCTATCTTTCACCATATTTTCAAAGAGGTCCCATTGCACAAGAAAACTAGTAGCTGATGAACTAGAGTATGTTGGCAAACTTCTTCTGTAAAGACTCAGGAAGTAGTGGCTGGTGTTTGTGGTACAGTGGGTTAAGCCACCTCCTGCAATGTCAGCATCCCATATGAGTGCTGGTTCGAGTCCCTGTTACTCCACTTCTGATCCAGCTCCATGCTAATGGCCTGCGAAAGCAGCAGAATATGGCCCAAGTGCTTGGGTCCCTGCCACCCTCATGAGAGAACTGGATGAAGCGCCTGTCTTCATGTGGCCCTGTCCCAGTCACTGTGGCCATTTGGGGAGTAAACCAACAGAAGATTTCTTTCTATCTCTGTCTCTCCCTCTGTCACTCTGCTTTTCAAATAAATAAATAAAGGGCCATCACTGTGCTATCGCAAGTTAAGACTCAGCCTACAGGGGCCAGCACCATGACGTAATAGACTAAGCCTCCAGCTGCGGCATCAACATCCCATATGGGCACCAGTTAATGTCCTAGCTGCTAGATTTCCAATCCAGATCCCTGTCAATGGCCTGGGAAAGCAGCAGAAGATGGCCAAAGTGCTTGGGCCCCTGCACCCACATGGGAGGCCCAGATGAAGCTCTTGACTCCTGGCTCCAGTTTGGCCCAGCCCTGGCCATTGCAGCCATTTGGGGAGTGAATTAGCAGTTGGAAGAACTCTCCCCCTCTCTGCCTCTGCCTCTCCCTCTATGTAACTCCACCTTTCAAATAAATAAATAAATCTAGAAAAAGAGAGAGAGAGAGACCCAGGAAGTAAACATGTTGGCTTTACAAGAGCATGGTCTCTGTCCCAGCCACTGAACTCTGCACTTGTAGTGTGAAAGCATCCATGCAGCAAAAAGAGAAGACAGACACAGCCATGTTCCAATAAAACTTTATTCACAAAAACAGGCTGTGGACCAGATTGGGCACGTCTCCCCTTCCCCCACCAGCAGTTAAGCCAATCCCTGAACCTGAGGATATGACCAGCTTCCTTTCCATTACGTCACATTCTGCTGCTGCCCTTTCTGTTGGGTGAACTGAATGAGACTGGGATTCCTGGCAGTGGACTCAGCCCTTAGCCAAGGACCACCCAGGAAGGGAGGAAGCACATAAAAGGAATTCGTTTCACTTTTTCATGAACAACAACAAGTTCTTTGAATTCGTAATTAGAAACTCTCTCTCTCTCTTTCTGTCACACACACACACACACACTGAGGTTACTGCAACTCATTTCCTGCTGCCCTGCTTGCAGTGTATTTTGAGCAAAATCATTGTTGACCGTGGATGATGACCTTTGACCTCTGGCGGCTGCCTGCAATATACTTTCCTGACTCATTTGCATATAGGCTGTTCAAAACCTGCTGGCACATTCATCCTACAAGAAAATCTCAAGACAGAAAGCAGTTTAGGAAGAACTGTTTTTCCCTCCTGTTGTGAGCCTAGAACCTCTTCAATTCAAGTCAACAAGTCTACACTGAGCACCTCCTATCTACCCTGAGTGCCCCGGGCTCTGAGGAGGGCTGGCTTCTGCCCAGAGCACAGGGCCTGGGGCCCAGGACGGCAGTCCTCTGCTCTTGCTCAGCCCTAGCTGTCCTGGGATCCCAACCAATCCTCACCGGCTACCTTGCTGGGAGTCTCTCTCTGCCCTGATTCGGAGAGGGGTGGAGAGAGGCCAGGCAGTGTCCCTCTGACCTCACCCCTTCCAAATTCCAGCAGCAAAAGGACTGAATCAGTCCCCAAAGTGAAAGCAGGTGAAACGAAAGCGTTTCCACTTGTGTGACTAAGTTCTCAATACAAGCTATCCGTGTACACTAGAAATATCATCTGTGGATAACAGCTTAGAGTTGGGAGTGTGTTCTTTGGGTTGGTTTAGACCCCTTTTCACAAGAACACACACCTCTCCGAGGAAGACAGACAACAAGTGCCAGAGAAGGGAGGCTGGGAGGTCTTGGGCCACGCTGTGGGGTGGGGGCGCCCTGGGCGGCCAGATGCCTCTGCCCCCTCCATCCAGCTGGCTCCTGCTCAGGCCCATTTCACATCTCCAAGGCTTCCCGAGGGTTCCTTTTTCTCTTTCTATCAGGACGAGTTTCCCAGACTTCTCATGGAAAATCCCTGAGCCGGCCACTTCCTGTTTTTGTTGTGTTTTCCTCCCCCACTCATGGACCCTTTGACCTTTTGTCCTTTGTTGTGATTCTCCCTCTCCAGGGCGCCCAGGCTGAATCCCAGCCCCAAGGAGTCCTTAGCCCGCGTGGCCACTGAGGACAAGCAGTCTGCCTGCCCAGCCCGGCTCACACGCTGCGTGTGCTGAAACAAAGCCTTTCTCCCAGGGCTCTCAGAGTTGCTTCCTCTCCTGAAAATGGGGTGCTGGCTTTGGAGATGCCCGCTCGTCGTGGATGTGAGTCTTGATCACCATTGAGTCCTGAAGCTTCTGGATCCACTTTTAATTGGAGCTAGGAGTTTTTTTCTGCTTTGTTTTGACCACACTTCTATCCAGGAGTATGCCCTGTTCTTTTTCCTTTCTACTGTTTGTCCCCTTCCTCTGGGCCCTGCATTCCTGGCATATTTGGACAGAGCAGGGCTGGCCTGAGGCCACTTTTCTAAGTATCTTCTCAGTCCTACAGTCCTGCTTCCAACACAGTCTCTTTGCTTTGTTTATTCTGGACTTCCCACTCCCAGGCAAGTGCCAGATGTGGGGCAGGACCATGGAGTCAGACTTCCACAGACACCAAGGCACAAACAACTGAGCCACGGTCGCCATGGGTAGCGGTGCTCAAACAAGCTGGCTGGAAACTCCAGCCCACAACCTCCAAAGGGGGAACATGCAAAACGATCAGACAAAGGAGGGGTTAACCTTGTGCCGCCATCTTACGGGGAATTTCCCCCCAACACATTTGGCAAAGTAAAAGGGAAGAAAGAATCCCGAACTGTGAGCCCCCCACTGCCCTCGATGAGTTCTGGAGCACCAGCCCACCGCGGGGGTCTGGTTACAGGCTCGGAGGTCAGCACTATTTTCTCTCGGCCACTGTCTCCCCGGGTGACCTTTGCTAGGACAAGCTCCTCGCTCAGCCTCCACGTCCCCTCTCTGGAGGTGCCAGAGACGGCTGTACAGCGTGGGCGACATCAGGGTGCTTCCGGCCCGAGTGCAAGCCAGCAGCACCTGCCATGACCTCATGTTCTGTGGAGCCCCGCTAGGCCTCCCTTAAATCTTACCTCGAGGAAAGGTCAACCCAATTCAGATCAGAGGAAAATCTGAAGTTTACGCTATCCTCTAAATTGTTTTCAAGTTCCCATGGGGGAAAGAGATTGATTCATTTTGTTAATAAGCAAAGGTCTTATTTTTCCACCTTCAGTCGTATAAACGTCAAAGGGGGGAAAAAGCCTTCGTATTCAATCAAAAAACAGTTCCAGCATTTTTAAAAAGTCAAGTGGAGATAAAACAGATGATCCACCAGAAGGGGGAAAAAGGAGGCTTAGCTCCAAAGCCATCATACCTTAAATTATCTAATGTTTAACTCCCTCCACAAAGCCCTCCTGGAAGTGTTTGCCTGTGTTCAAGAACAGTTAGCAGCGAAGGCAAGAGCAACAGCCTTGATCCTTCTAGGATTCTTGTAACTTTGGATGAATGAAGCCACTGGACTAAGAAAGCTGAGGAGGATGAGGGAATGCACTTACATGGAACCATCATACAAAATCCACCCCATGTTCACAGCAACATTATTCAGTAACAGCCAAAGGTGAATTCGACCTAAAGGCCTAGCAGGTAAGTAGATGAATAGATGCAAGGATGAATGGATTAACAAAGTATGACATAGGCTGAATATTATTCAGCCTTAAAAAGGAAGGAAATTTATGTATGTATGTATTTGAGAGACAGAGTGACAGTGACAGAGGAGAGGCAGAGAGAGAGAGAAAAATCTTCCATCTGCTGGCTCACTCTCCAAATGCCCACAACAGCAAAGGCTCAGCCAGGTTGAAGGCAGGAGCCAGGAAATCCATCTAGGTCTCCCATACGGGTGGCAGGGTCTCGAGTACTTGAGCCATCATCGCCTATCTCCCAAGCGCATTAACAGGAAGCTGGATAGGAAATCAGAGACCAGACTCAATCTTAAGGCCCTCCTTTAGGGGATGTAGGTGTCTGAGGAGACAGCTGAGCCCACTGTGCACCCCAAAAACAAAGGAAGCTCTGACACAGGCATCAACATGGATGAACCTTGATGACACTATGCTAAGTGAAATCTGCTAGTCACATAAGGACAAATACTGTGGGATTCCACTTACAGGAGGCACCTAGAGTTGTCAAATTCATAGAGACAGAAAGTAGAATGGTGGTTTCTTAGGCCTGGGCGTGGGGAGGGGACAAGGAGGTGTTTAATGGGTACAGAGTTTCAGTTTTGCAGAATGACAAAGCTCTGGCGATCAATGGCGGTGATGGTTGCACAGCAACATGAATGCATTGAATGCCGCTGACCCATGCACGTTAGAAGTGGTTAAGGTGGTAGATTTTATGTTGTGTTATATTTTACCACAATTTTTTTAAAAAGTTTAACTAAAAATTTTAAAATTTCTGAGTTCTGGGTAAAAAATTCTGAGTGACCAGGATTTAAAGACAGGCCCCTGTCTTCCCAGGCCCTTCTCTGCGGAGCACTGGCAGTGCCTTTAATTTAGAGCCCCCACGTGGTCACGCAACATGCAACCAAATGCTCCTTTTTCTGCTTCAGAACTTAGCTGCAGCTGCCACATCCACATCCACGGGGAGAGAACGGGCAGCTCCCTGCCCCATCGGACTGGTGGAAAAAAACCAAGGGGTCATGGAGGTTAAGTAACTTGCTCAAGGTCACATAGTTCACAGGGTCTGCCCCCAGCTAAAAGTGCCTGGTGGAGCTGCCTCCAGATTTATAGCCCCGCAAAGTACTGGATAAACACAGGACAAAACCAGCATTTGTCTCTGCGGAGAGCGGAACGTGCCAGGACAGAGCTTCCAAAATTCTAAAACCAGGGCCACGGGGCAAAAACCACCCGGAAGTACTTCACGTTCTTCCGCTCAAACAGGGTTCATGGAGCACTTCCTGTGGGCTAGGCTGTCTGCTGAGCTCAGCGTCGGTGTCCTTCCTGGTTTCCCCCAGTATGCTGGGCCACGGAGGAGGACACAGGATGCAGGCATTCAACAAGCAACTGCAAAACAGGGGGGCGAGGGTGGAGACGGGAAATAGACGGGAGCGCAGAGGACAGCTCCAGACCCACCTAGAGCGGCGGAGCCATCGCTGAGGCCAGGGCAGCCATGTGTGTTGCCTGCGCAAAGGCCCAGGACACAGAGAGCCTGGTGCCTTCCGGAGAACCATCCCTCTGCTCTCTCACGTCCGTTTTCCTCTGAATGCGCCATCCGTCTCCCCTCTTAGGAACATCCCCACGAGTCCCACGTCCACCTCAGTTGCCTCCTTATAGTAGTCCACTGCAGCTGCTGTAGCATGGGCCCACGGACTGGGCGGCTTCAACTACAGAAATGTATTCTCTCCCAGTTCTTGGGGCTGGAGGTGAGAGACCCAGGGCTCGTTCCTCCCCAGGCCATGAGGCAGACTCATCCCAGTCCTCTCCTCCAGCTTTTGGCGGCCTCAGGCACTGCTGGGCTCACAAATGGCCTCATCTCCCCACTTGTCTTCCCATCATCCTCCCTCTGGGCATGTCTGTCTCTGTGTCCAAATTTCTTCTTTTTATAAGAAACACAGTGTCTCTACCAACATGGCCAAAAGGCATTCTTTAGAGAAATGAGAAATGAAAGCTGATAAAGCTCATGAGAGAAAACTCAGAATCCACCTTCCTTAGAAATCTCACAAAAACATACCCAATAGTTTATGATAGGGTTGCCATCAGGTAAAGATATAGCTAGATATATAAACACACATATATTTGAACCCCGTGTGGGTATATCTCAACATACACATAAATACATATATAAGGGTAACGGCAAAAAAAGAAACATCCTAAATGTTCATCAGTAGGCGACAGGCTAAATCAGGGGGTGACAAACCATGGCTTGTCGACAAAAATCAATCCAGCACCTATTTTTGTAAATAAAGTTTTATTGGCATATAACTGCACCTGTTCATGTACATATTTTTCTTTGACCACTTTGGAGCCATAGCAGCCAAGTTGAACATTTGGAAAACACAGCATCTGGCCCATAAATCCAAAAATATTTCTGAGCTGGCCGCTTACAGAAAAAGTTTGTTGATCCCTGCGTTCAGTTCCTCTAAATGCAGCTAATAAAATGGTCGTGTGAGTCTGTGATCATAGTTTTGCAAAGAAGTCCATGATGTATTACTAAGTAAGAATATTGGGCAGCCATTTGGTGCAGTAGCTAAGACACTGCTTGGGATGCCCACATCCTATATCAGAATGCCTAGATTCGAGTCCTGGCTCACTTTGGATTCCAGTTTCCTGCTAACGTGTACCCCGGGAGGCAACAAGTGATGGCTCAAATCCTTGGGTCCCTGCCACCCATGTGGAAGACCCAGAAAAAGTTTCTGGCTTCTGACTTTGGCCTGGACCAGCCTTGACATTTGTGGACATTTGTCAGCGAATCAGCAGGTGGAAGATCTATCTCTGTCTGTCTCTGTGTCTTTCTGTACTTCTGGCTTTTAAGTAAAATGAAAATAAATAAATAATAGGAATTTGGTTTCTTTAAAAAAAAGAGAGAGAGAGAACATCAATAGAAAAACGGTGACTTCATCCTGTTCTTGTAAAAGGAAAACATGCTCAACTAAAATGTGCATACTTCTGTAGAAAAACATGCGTGTTTTTTCCAGAAAGTTCCAGGAGAAGGAAAATAGAGAATTTTTAGAAAATGTCTCTGTATTTTTTTATGCTTTAATTTTTTTAAAATACTGGAAAAGCACTGCTTACTTCCCCCCACCCCCTCGCCCAGTATATGGTGAAGGACATCTCACCAGGAGGGGCGGTGCCAGGGAGACAGCTTGGCTTCTAGGGACAGCAAAGGGCCAGGAGAGGCAGCCCCACCAGGGAAGCGGACCTGGCTGACGCCCTGGGGAGAGGGGGCCTCCTGCCTGGCAGCAACTGCTTCCAGCTCCTCCTCCACTTACCCCCCTGCATTCCTTGTGGTCAGGGCTGCCGTAGGGAGCCTCGTAGCCCAACGTCCCCTCCCACTGCCCCCAGCCTGGTGGAGAAAGAGCCCAGAGAGCCCTCGCTCCTGAGTCAGCCCCTGGCCTTCACCCACAGGGGCACCACAGGACGTGGCATGGCAGGAAGCACCAGGTCTCTGAGGAGACGGAGCACAATGTGCAAACATGAATGGCTTATTTTTAGAGAAGTCCAGCCCTCGTGTCCTGGCCCCCCTCCAGGGTGAACCACGGCGTTCCCTCTGACTCAGCTCCCCACACGGACTCGGAGTCAGAGCAACAAGGTCTCCCCTCTCTGACGTGAGCCATGGCCAGTCCCGTCCTTCAGGAAACATCTCTACAGCAGATTCTGAGTTCTTGTGGGCCTGGACACAGGCTGCTTCCAGAAAGAACACAGCCCTTCCCTGGGCTTTGGGACATAGTGCAGAAACTCCTGCAGCTTCCTGGGTCTCTGCTTGTTGAGAGAACACCTGAGCGACCATCAGCCTTCCCGTGGGACTCCAACAGATGCCGAGGCCCAGGAAACCGGAGCACTGCCTCTCCCTCCTTCTCCCCTCCTGGGCCCAATCCTGGAGCCCTGGTCCACACCCGGGGCCTGGTCCTCGGGCGTTTCTCAGTCTTTCCAATCAGAGTCCACACAATGTCCAGCAAACTAGAGAAACAAAGGGAGCGATTGTCTCCCTGCAGCCCACGTCCTGCTGTGACGAATACAGTGGTTCTAACAGGCGGCAATGTCAGCAACGTCACAGGAAACAGTGCAGAGCGCAGATGCCTTGAGACGTCTTTCCAGAGAGGCTCCAGACCTGGCGGGTTTGTGTACATGTGGGATGGGAGGAAGGATATGACAAGTGAGAGATGATCTTCCACCCTGAGGCCAGCGTTTCCAGCATTCCAGGAGGTGCAAGGACACAGCTGTCCCTGCCCAGTTGTCCCTGTGTGATTGGAGCTGCAGGTGTCAGTTGTCTCAAAGCAGCGGAGCTTGGGGGGCCCGCACATATCCAGATCTTCAGAGAGAAAACGCGCCTGTGCAGCCGGACTGGTGCCTGCATGTCCCCTTTGTACTCGTCTTCCCTGTTCTGCCTCCTCCATCGTGGGCAACATCAGCAGCCCTGGCCCCAGTGAACAAGTCAAGGCCTTGCCGAGTGAGGTCAAGAGCTGGAGCTTCCCCTTATTTTGTTACTAGGCATCATACATCAGCCTTTATTCACACTCCATAAAGTCATAGTGTTTAAGGTGAGTCTCCTCCACACCTATAATTCCCCACCAGAGCAATTTGCCAGGGAGAAAGAGCCCTCCAGCAGGCAGTCGCTGTGAGTCACAGCTTCCTCACAGCTACCGCCCACCCAAAGGGTCACCACTGACAGGCACCCTTGATCCTCAGGCTGCTCTGGGGCTTGGGAGAGTCGACTGAGGCTCACCTCTGCTCACAAGGTCAAGGGACTTTGCACGATGACTAGGAAGGTAGCACCTCTAGATCCTGCCCTTCTCTACTCCCTTGGGCCTTTGCTCCTCATATAGGGCTTACACTTTGGCCTCTGCCATCTGCCTTTCATAGCCTGTTCTACCTTCAAAGGGCACAGCAAGACGCTCCTTCCCCAGGAATGGCTAAAGTCCATGGTATGTGGGC